ACTGTACAATTCAGTAATGTTATGTATACTTACGTTGTTGTGCAACTGACCTCCATTCGCTTTATATCTCTAGACCAGTGATGGCGAACCTTTTGAGCTCGGCGTGCCAGCATTTTGAAAAACCCTAACTTAACTCTGGTGCCGTGTTAGGGTTTCCATGTGCTTGCATGTGAGCTCATTCCTGCTGGCCATCCAGTGCAGAAACCGGCTCCAGGATGGCCCGCTCCACCTGGTCATCCGCCGTCATGACAGGGAGACGCGGGTCCGAGGTGCCTCACAGCATCAGCACACCCTGAGGTGTCAGGCTGAAGGAGGGGAACAAGGATTGAAATGTGTGGAGCCAGAACTCAATCTCTGGAACATTCTTTCAGATAAAAAGACTCATGTGACAGAATCTTGGTAGAGGTGTGCTTGTCTGACAACATCCTCAACAATTGTGAAGATGGAACTTTTCTCCATTATCACAACAAAAAGCAAAAATGTTTAAAAATACACTTATATTGATTTCAGAGAGAGGAAGGGAGAGAGAGAGAGAGAGAGAGAGAGAGAGAAACATCAATGATGGGAGAAACATCATTGATCGGCTGCCTCCTGCTCGTGCCCTACTAGGGATGGAGCCCAAAACTCAGGCATGTGCCCTGACCAGGAATGGTACCGTGACCTCCTGGTTCATGGGTTAAACATGACATTTAAAAAATCATACCACACACTTGGCGGCTTAAACAATACAAAATTCAGGGTCTTGCAGTTCTGGATGTTCGAAGTCCAAAGCCAGCGTCCCTGGGCTAAAACCGGAGCGTTGCCAGGCTGGCTCCTCTGGGGGCTCCAGGGGAGAACCCGCTCCCATGGTTTTCCAGTGTCCAGCTGCCACCCAGCACAGCGAGGGCAGGTGTCGCCTCAGGTCAGCACAGCCTGACTCGTCAGGAAATTCACACAAAAGAGAGACCTGGCTGGCACACACCAGTCACCTAGTCACTGCCATTTTCCTGCCCACCGGGCACCGTTCTATAAGGAGGTCTGATGTAAGCGTGGGACAGGATCAGAATTGGGGGTGTCAGTTGGCGTCCCCCAACCCAGTTCAGATCTGTTTCTAACTGAACCCCATCTGTTTACATTATTTCTTGCCATGCACCAAGCCCCCCCAAAACTTACTGGATTACAACTGCCACCACTTTATTTCCTTCACAATTCTGTGTGTTGAGAGGGCTCAGCTGGGAGTTCTTCAGCTCCAAATGGCTTCAGGTGGATGCTTACCTGGGCTCCCTCACATGTGCCGAGCTCGGGGGGCATGGCTGGAAGCCTGGAGCAGCTGGGTCTCTCTCATGTGTGTCATCTCAGGGCTCTCTCTCTCCACTTGGCCTCATTGTGTGGTCCCCCTCCCCCTACCCCACAGGGTAGCCAGACCTTTTCACATGGTGATGTGGGCTCCCCCAAGGGGAGAAGCAGAAGCTCACAGGCCGTGTTATGATTCAGGCCCAGGACTGACCCAGTGTCACTTCCCCACATTCTATTGCTTCAAGGAAGTCCAAGACCATCCCAGACTCATCCTGGGAGGGGACTGATGAGGGTGGGGCTCAGGACGTGAGGTTTATTGGGACCATCTTGGGAGAATATGTCAGAGTTCTCTACCTAGGGCTTCATAATATGAGAGAATGGACCATGGAAGTTATGTTAACAGAAAACTTATAGGCAAAACCAAGTAAAAGTCATTCCAATATCAGGGCGTGGGATTCTGTCATTAATTCTAGTGCCTCTTCATTAAGGAATTGGGGAATGTTTAATCAGACACAGTTTAAGTAGATGTCTCTCTTCGGTCCCTTTAGAGCAGTGGTTCTCAACCTGTGGGTCGCGAATCCTTTGGGGGTCGAACGACCCTTTCACAGGGGTCGAACGACCCTTCACCTAAGACCATCGGAAAACACATATATAATTACATATTGTTTTTGTGATTAATCACTATGCTTTAATTATGTTCAATTTGTAACAATGAAAATACATCCTGCATATCAGATATTTACATTAGATTCATAACAGTAGCAAAATTACAGTTATGAAGTAGCAACGAAAATAATTTTATGGTTGGGGTCACCACAACATGAGGAACTGTATTAAAGGGTCGCGGCATTAGGAAGGTTGAGAACCACTGCTTTAGAGACATTTATTTTTAAAAAAATATATATTTTTATTGATTTCAGAGAGGGATAGAGAGTAGAAAGATCAGTGATGAGAGAGAATCATTGATCGGCTGCCTCCTGCACGCACCACACTGGGGATCCAGCCGGCAACCTGGGCATGTGCCTTGACTGGGAATCGAACCATGATCTCCTGGTTCATAGGTCTATGCTCAACCACTGAGCTATGCCAGCTGGGCTAGAGACATTTCTTTATCTTCTTGGTGCGTGCCATCTACTGAGCTTCCGTGATTCACACGTCTTGTTGTAACTGTGTACCGCTTCCCTTCTAGGGACCGGCCTTTATATTGATGGCAGAGGGAGTGTCGTCTCACTTTTCCTTTGTCCACAGTTGATGATTTACGTGCAGAATGTCTGGCAACCATCTCCATAGCCCCAGATCCCGCTATTCCTAGTGGCTCCTGAATGCAGCTGAAAACAGGAGGCAGATTGTTTTCCTCCAATGTGCACTCTGAAACAATGCCTTGTGTATAAAATGTCCCTTCCCGTGACAGTCTTTGCTGTGGAACACTCTCTGTGACTCTGAGTAGTTGGAGGTTTTTCGGTAGGCCCTGGATTTCTGCCATGGAAACGACTTCCAGCTTTTGTAGATGGTTACATCGCTGTTTATAGCAACTCCACCCCACCCTCTTTCTCCCATGACAGGTCAGCCCTTGGGTCCCCTGTGGGGACAGCCTCAGCACATTTCTGTCCAGCCCTTTACTGACCTGAGGCTGTTTACTCCTAGTCCCAGAGGGCCGGAAGCCAACCTGGAGGTGAGACCTGAAGAAAGCTGGAACCACCATGACCTTGAGCACCGCCGAGAAGCAGACTCCACTCCTGGAAAGCCCGCCGTCAATGGCGAGGAGGGGGATGGGGAGCCCCACATCTGCCGTGTATGTGGGGACAAGGCCACTGGTTATCACTTCAATGTCATGACGTGTGAAGGATGCAAGGGCTTCTTCAGGTAGAGTGCCCTGCCACCTTCCCCACCGGCCACCCTGACACCCTGGGGCCCATCCGACTGGGGCTCTGCCATTAGCCCACTGGGCACCAGGGCTGCAGCTTGACCGTCTCCCAGGTTCAGAGTGTGGGCCGGGGCCGTCCGAAGGCCTCCTAATTAGTCTCAGGGAGAGCCATGTATATCTCAGAGGAATCCTTCATCTTCCATCTTCCATCTTCCTTCCTGAGAAAGGGCTTCTGTTACAATACCCCTTTGTTTCTCCGTACATTCTGAGTAAATAGAATTCAGTCTGTAAAGAGGAAAGGATGTGAAAGTCCAAAATGCAAGTGTTCAAATCAGTCTTAGAGAGTGGTTGTTCAGTA